TATATATATATATATATATATATATATATATATATATGTATGTATGTAGGGTTAAAGCTCTAGCCAAAGGGATCCCATGGCCTGTTGAGTTAGTTTAGAGCTTTATTAATCTCCTTGGGGAAATTAGTTCAGACAGACTGTCGTGGTGCTTCACATATACAATCAAACCTTAACAAACACACATACAAATACTCGAAATGCATACAAATATATTAAAAAATCCACAAAATCAACTAAATTTATTACATAAACTATTGCTTGATTCTGGCAACTCAATTGGTTGTAAACTGTTGTGTTGGTAAAGCAAGCAGCTGTAGACATGATCACAGCTGCAAACGAATGACATTTTGTTTGAATCATGATAGGGAGTGGTTTTCCAAATTGTCCTTTTTTTTCTTTCTTTTGAGTTTGTTTTGCTTGTAATGCTCTTTAAAATAACTCTTCTTGGAGCACGGGACGTTCTGGAGTAGAACTCTTGTTTTATGGTACTCTGTGCTGATGATGTAGTAGGAGGCACATGCTAGGCTGTAGTTGCATAATTTTTGGGTGGCTTGATTCATGAATATGTCTTTGTTCACATCCTGTGGGTCAGACGAGGCTCACTGGAGTGAGTGCTTCCCTTTGCACGTTGCATGCAGTGGCACGTGTTGGAAGCACTTGTCATTATAATCACTTTCCACCCACCCACCTGCCCAATTTTCGCCTATGTCCCTAGAGATGAGGTTACTTGGCAGGGAATGTGTGGCTGGACACCCTTCTAGACAAGACGTAATGTACAGTGGTTAGCAATGGGCACAGATAGACAAGTGCTGCTGTGATGATGAAATAGAGGGATACTATATTTGCACCATGCAGGTTATATAGGTAGGTAGGTAGCTTTTTATTGTCATTCAACTGTACATACAGAATGCACATATGAACGAAATTCCGTTCCACTGGCTCATAAATACTGCACTAAACTAAACACGTACCATAAAATCAGTATAAAATATATATATATAATAAGAATTGCAACAGTGTTCATTTAAAAGAATATAGCACTAAAAGGAATGATAGCAGCATATAAATATTAAATAATGCACATAGTACACAATGCACATAGTAATATCACTGGAGGAAGGGAAGTTTATGCCATCTTCCTGTCCATTTAATGTCCTGCTTATGTACTTTATCAGTCATTGTCCTCTTGGAACTCAGACTTCCTTTGGGCTGTTTGCCATTGTAGGGGTGCCCCAAGTCTGTGTACTAGGTCCAATCAAATTTTGGAGGGAACACTCTGACACAAGCACAGACTTGCACACCCACAAACACAAAAGCTGCTGGGAAAAAAAAATCCTTGATGGAAGAAAATGTGAGAGAGCGTTTGGTCGAGCAAGACCAATAAATGAAAACCATGCTCACCCCCCACAAATGTGTGTGTGTGTGTGTGTGTATGTGGATCGGTGAGGGTGGGTGTGATTGAGGCATGCATCAGCAATCTCCTCCCTCCCTGGTCACTATACATCCTGGAGGACTCCTCGCACTGTCTATCACTCAGCAGAGGCACACGGTGAGCTCAAGAAGTCCTGACTTGACACTAGCACCAGCAGCAACAGTCTTAAAGAAATCGGGCAGCATCCCTTCTCGATTGGAGCAGAGCACCATGGCAGGCAGCACTGTCCTTCACTTGGGCTTCCTTCTGACGCTTGCAGGAATTCTCCTCCTCGCATGCAGCTCAGCACAAAGAGTCAGAGGCAAGTTCAGCACCAGGGTGCCGCATACTGCAGTATGGGGCACTCATGTCTTTTGGTGATCAGTGTGTTTTTTGTGATGCACCTGTTTGTGTTTCAGAATGTCATGCATTTCTACAATAGTTTTAAAATTAGGATTGTAATGTAATCTTAAAAAGATTTTTGTAGAGTTGTAGGTTAGGACAAGGTTCATTACGATTAACCTGTTGCATTTGTATTGCAAGATGCCCTGAACCAGTCATTGGTTTTATTTTTCATTCATTTTTAAAAAAACATGCAATGCATTTTGCAGGTGCATTTGGGCATGCATGAGCAGATTATTAGGGAAATTATATGCAACATGATTACATTTGGGGTGAGGCCAAACTCTGCAAAGGGAAAAAATGGGGTTGGAGCCTGAAAGGTGCTGGAAAATGAGGCACATGCAATTTGTCAGCTGTTGTCCAGAATCCAACATCAGAAACCAGCCAGACACTTTGATATTCTGGTTGCAAAATGGCATTACATTTTGATAGACTAAATTTTGAAACAGTAGAGTGATAATGGTTACCACATGGTGTATGGAGCTGGCCAAAATCTTTTCTTTTTTTTTTATGTTTTATTTTGTGTGTATGTATATGTATGTGTGTCTGTATATATTCCATTATGGTGCTTGATGTGCTTGTGTGTGTTCTAGGGTTTGTTGAATGAATACATTGCACCTAAGTATCCTGTTCATAGTGCATTTTTGTGTGTGTCTACATATGTTCCAGCGCCTGCCTCCTCAGTGCCAGCAGTGTAGGTGTGTATGTATGCATGTATCTTTGCAAGATCTCTAGCTCCCAGCGTCCCTGGGTGCTTAGATTAGCTATTGCATTAGTAATACAAGCTCTCGGTTCACTATCAGCGCTCATTTATCAGCTATTAAAAACCACCTCCATCTCCGGAGGGGAGGAATGTCTGCGCTGGCTCAGTGCCCTGTCTCTTGTACCGAGTTTCATTCAGCACAGCTAGTCAATCAGCCCAGCAGCGTTCTGTGTTTATCTTTCGTTGGCCAACTTCGTTTCCTTATGGATGTTGACTGGACAACAAGACAGAGTTTAAATTACCGGGTGGGGGCTGAGTTCAACAAGTGTGAAGATACTTTGAAAATGTATCTTCTCATCCCTGCTGAAAAGAAACACACTTATCTGGTCAGGCTGGTCTGGTTTGCTGGTTTTAGAGTGGTTTTGGGCAATTTTCAGCTGGTTCCACTTCACTGAAGTAGCTGAACATCAGTTTGGTCAGGCTGCATGACCAGCTAAACCAGGTAGGACAAGCTTGATCAGGCTGGGAGACCCTCTAGACCATCTTAAAACATTTAAAACCAGCAAACCCTCTTAGGCTGGTTTAAAAATTATTTTTTTCAGCATGGATGAACTTGATTGATAATTGACGCCTTAAAAGGAAACAGCAGTCTGAGATGTCTGTATGTTCACCTGGCTCAGATGCAGCTTCTACTTGTTACTGTACTTCAACTTGCCGCGGGGCAAAGATGGCTTAACAAGTCATGTGCAGGCAGATGTACTGTAAAAACAAGCACTGAAGGTTCACAATGCACCCTGAAACCCGAAGCCAAACACTATCAGGGAAAAAAAAAAAAAAGAAAACATTGAATTGTGAAAGAACATGTGTTTAGGAGTGGTGTTAGCAATGAAGGGTTGTGTGTAAGCAACTAATACTGGTTGTTTTAATATCAAAATGTCTCTAAGTGAGCACCAGAGAAAAGTCAGAACAAGACAAAGAGGATGAAAGGATTTGGGGGGTGAAGGGGAGAGGAGAGCAGCTGTTGAGTGCAGAGATCAGAACTGTTGTAAATGTGCCTGAAAGACGAATGATTTGCTGAAGTCTGGGAAAACAGTAGATTTACACTCTCTTCACGCCCTCAGGTGATTCGCTTCTTCTGAAGTTTAGTGCCATTTTTTAAAATCATCTCCTTGGATATTTGGGTCATGTTTGTCCTGTAATGTGGTGCACAAGAGCCTGGAGTTCTACATAAGGACTAGATTTCTGGATTTTCCATGAAAAGTGCTGACTTAAAGGAATACTTCACCAAAAACAAAATCTGTCATAATTTACTCAACCTCATGTCATTACTGCATGGCTTTCTTTCTTCTACAAATTAAGAAATTTTGATGAATAAGAATACAAATTAAAATTCAATGGACAGAAAAAATGAAAAAAAACAACAACAACAACAACAACAGTGGAAAGAATTGACATTCATTTTATACACTAAAGACACTTGGTGACTGTTCGTTGTAAAGCCCAAAGATCTCTTCTAATTTTCTTGAAGTTGCTTATTTAAAGTCTTGAACATGACGAAAAACAACTGAGCAAAAACAAGTTTGATTTGATAAAGCGAACTGATTTTGAATGCAGACTTGGCAAGTGCCTCGAGTAGCATGGCTTCTGTCCAGGAGGAATGCTGTGAATCAGACTGACCCTTCTAGAAATCAACGTGTTTGTAAATTATGTTTCAAGTGGAACAAGTGCCAGACGTCCAATAAAAACTGGACCTTATTCATGCACAAGCTAAAAACTAACCATATCTGACAAAACACAGCTTGGTGGTCATCCATCTGCAATTCGATAATTTAGCAATCATTTTATTTACTTCGCAAAGTGAAGTGCACAACGTGACTTGGCTAAAAACATATTATTAGTCGAGTTACTGAATCCTTTAGGGATAAAAAAATTTTTTCTTTTAAAGTTGAAATTTAATATTAGACTTTGGCTTGTTCTCTTTTTAATAAGGATGTTTTCCCTGAAGACATAATCATTTTTGTACACTGTTGATGAACTTTGGAAGTATTTTTCTTTTCTTTTACATTGCATTCATTCACTTAAATGAGAAAATAGAATGTAAATGTAATTTAAATATTTATTTATTTACATTTGGGCACTTAAATAGGAATGTATAACAAATCAAATAATTAAAAATGTAAAATAATAAAAAGAAAATCAACTGGATTCACAGTATTACCATTGCAGTCAAGATGCTCCATGATTTGACCTGCATGATCTCCCTGAAAAAATGTGATTGTGTTTTTCCTTTCCCTTGACCGCAGAGGTCAATCCATTGTCCAGCCCTCCTCCACTGGCATGAAAAAAACAGCAAAGCGGCTTTTTATTATTCTTGTCAGATGTAAAACTATTACATTTTGTGAACGGAAAAAAAATCCCTCAGCTACAGCTTTTAAAATATCTGTGGTGACAAGCTGGTGAGAACAGGTAAACCAAAAACACCACTCAACCGCAAGTGTCAAGCCTATCCATGACTCAGAGCCTTGGCCCCAGTCTAAAGCTACAATGACATGGTTAGGATTTGAAAAAGACATCTGAATGAATAGGTGAAGAAACAAGACTGTGCCTGCCTTTTAATTATAGTTAATCAAAGTGATACGGTGCATTGCTGTAATGGTAGGGAACACCTAAAGTAGAGTTCATTTTCAAGTGTTCTTCACTGAGCTGTTTATTTTACAGTGATCCCAGTGATTCAGTGGTTTGTAGTTATTTCCCTTGTACAAATCCAGCAGCTTCCCTGACCACACACACTTACTCTTTTCTGTTTGTTTAACAGATTTCAAAAGATTAAGAAGACACGTTACTGAATTAGCCTGTTCACTTTCCACACATATGCTTCAGTGTTGGGTGATTCTTCATAGACAGTTCAGAAATCAAAATTATGTCATTGCTTACTCACCTTTATGTCTCTCCAGACCCATATGATGCTATATTTTCTTTTTGAACACAAAAAGTAATAGCATACATACAGCTCTTTTCCAAAAACAAATGTTCAGAGTGACTGTGGACATCCAAAAACAGCAAAAAAGCCCCATAAAATGATCATTAAAGTGGTCCATGAAATGCATGCACTATATCACAAGTCTTCTGAAGTCATACATTAGTGATGAGTGAGGAACAGACTGAATTTAAATCATTATTTACTGAAATCCTCCCCTCTGGTGAGCTGTTGACTCAAGAACCATTTCAACTGAATCAGTTGAGTTGAACTCAAGAACTGGATCATTGAATTATTATAATTTTTTATTGTCTATTCTTTTCATTGCACTGGTTCTTCCAGTTCACAAGTCAGACTGGGTTGTTTGTGAATTGAATGTCTAGTTCATCCAAAGAATAGACTCAAAAGAACGATTCATTCACTGATCCAGTTCTTGCATTCAACTCAATGACTCAATGATCTGGTCACAGCTGTTCTTGAATTGCCAGCTCACTAAAAGACTTGAATTTCTAATACAAAGCTGTCATATGACTTAAGGTAACTTGAAATGTGTAATGTAGTGCACTATCATATGGACATTCTTATGGTGCTTTTTAGTGGTCAATAGGAACTGTTGCTGTTTGGAAAAGCCTAAATGTATCTACTTTCGGAAATGCCAAATGAAGTGCTTTTGCTTTCGCCTAGAAACACACAGCGTCTCCCTGACATGGCTGCTTCAACACTAACTGCTTCAACACTAACTGCTGAAACCACGCCTTCTTTCTTTGCATGCACATTTGGGCGCATTATGCAAATATTTCCACATAGTGAGGTAGATATGTGGGGGCGTGTTAGAACGAGCCGTTTTAGGGGGGCGTGGCAGAGTCTTAACTTTGATAAAGAATATCTCTTTGGTTTTGAGACTTTAGTCTTTGCAACTTCAGGGATCTTATCTATGCACAATCAGCTTGTAACACTCCAAAGAGAAAGGAAAACTTGAAATCGCATCATATGACCCCTTTAATAATTTTCAAAAAATCTAATATTTTTGTCTCTACCGACATCAAATCCTTTTAGGTTGGTGAGTATGTAATGGATTTTCATTTTTGGGTGAACTGCCTAATGAGCCTGATTAATGAGCTTTGGTTGAAGTGGTGCTTCATCGAGACTTTGACAGATAGGGGCGATGAGCTTGACCTGCCAAGCTTGCAATTTCTCATAAAGTTAAATACACACATCACTTTCCAAAGGCCCAGACCAACCAGTTTAAATCAGTTTAAGGAGGACGGTTTGTGGCCTCTTTAACTCAGCGTTAAACTGTTCTGATTGATGGAGAAAAGGTGGAAGCGAAAAAATCTCTGCTCAGCCTGGTGGCTTATTAGATTTAGAATGGGCCTGAAACTGACTCGAGACATTTTCCATGCTGCAAATTATCCAATGAAATGGCAGTGAAAGACGACACTGGTATAAAAGGAGGTAATTTATAATGAATTTCTTGGCGCGGAATTGAAAAGATAACGATCCGATCACTTTAAATGTGCACTCCTGAAACTGTACAAAGCCTCAAAGGCTCATAATTCCTCTGAATGTAATGCTGCGTAACTAGTGCATAATATTGGAGGTCCATATGCTACTGTGCTTTGAGTGAAGTGATGAGGAGTTCAACTGTGAAAGCCATTCTCCTTGATTTACCTCAATGATGATTTTCATGGCACACAATTTTGTGCTCCTCAAAAGAGCGCTCCTCAGTCCCCCTTTGGCCTCATAAATCAACAAACCCCATCCAACACATGGGAAACATAAAGACTTACTCTTTAAGTAATTAATCATTTATTCATTGCGGTGTTCTGAAAGTCACTCTTTTTGTGCAGTTCCTCTCTACTGCCATTGAATGTCAAACACAGAAACACAGAACGTTTGAAGAGCTGCAGCACGGTTTCTTAACCCAATTAAAAGTATTTTAAACACTTCCTTTTCGCAGTAAGAAGACAGAATATGAAGGTTCGAATCAACGCGACCGGGGATACCATAGTTCTGAAGTTCGTTCGACCCAACCCTGACATCAAACTTGAAGGCTACATTTTAGGATATGGTTCCAGCATGTTCTCCAAACAGTTCATTCAACTTCCAGAAAATGGGGAACCCTATGAGACCGAGATTGGTAAGTTCGAGTTTAACCACAGGCAGCCGTTATTTCACTTAAGAGCCCGAAGCAATCATTAATGTTGTTTTGTGGGTTAGCATGGGAATGGAGGAGTAACCACACATGTTGATTCCTTGACCCATTGAAACCACTGTCTTGATTTGTACGCCTATGTTTGCGCCAATTCTTCCATTATTTGAAAACACAAACTGTAATTGAATCCCAAATAAATGCTATTTGTTAAAGGTTTGGTAACCACATTATTTGTCATCACCAAAAAGCCACACATCACGCTTGACCAGGTAAAAAGGTCACATATTACTCCCAAGAACACTAACCACTTTTTTTGTCTGTAAGATAACTTCCTGTTGTCCATATATCATCACTTTCCCAGGAGCTACAATCTCAGAGTTCATTCTGAGGAGGTTAGGGTCAGGTCATAGGGACCCTAAAGCTAATGTTAGTTCTTAAAAAATTGGCCCATGCCAGGTGCTTAATTTTGCTTTTGCAGATATAACAGAGTGCAGTTGCTTGTGGATTTCGCTGGATTTAACAATACCATATTGGTTATTGGTCGATATTAGAGATTTTTGTTTAAATTCGGTATTGGTCGATATTGGATAGTTAATTGTTCATATACATTTCTCTAATTTTTACATTTTAGATGAAATTTGCTGTCATTTAACATGAACTTTTAAGTTATATATTAAAAAAAAATGACTTTTAAGTAACTTTTAGCAAATCTCAATATGAATATCCATTTTCATATTGTACATTATAATGCTGTGATATGTAAGTTTACTTATAGCAATTAAAAGATTTTAGTTTTGATGTTTTTTTTTTAACAAAATTGGATGGAATTTTACTATTGGCTATTTATCGGTTATCGGCTATAACATGAAAATTATTATAAACGTTGTGTAAAATTTGTATATTGGCTATTTATCAGTTATCAGTCATAACATGAAAATAAGTATTTGTTATTTGTAGAATTTTAATATCGGCCACTTATCTGTTTACCGCAATGACGTGTAAATAATTATCAGCTTATCAGTGTCGGACAGAATTTTAAAATCCTAGAAAATGCAATTCTGGTCATTTGTGTTGACTGCAAACAATACATACATGCATATCTCTTTTTTAAGATTTAAGATTGAAGTGGACAAGGTCTCAACCTTTAAGTCGAGGCCTTTGAGGTTCAGCTCAATGGAAAGCACTTACGCAAATATAAAAATAATTACACACTGACGCTTATGCGCTTATCCAGAAGCTTGCAAACAAAGCATTATTTGTTCCAAAAGGAAGGGCCTCTACGTTTTTGGCTTCTTTACCTACACAGTCCAACACAGGAACATACAGTCACATCATTATTCAATATTGGCTGCAGGCTGAAGGATCATTTCACTTGAATTTACAGTGTGTGCTGAGATTTCAATATGATACACGTGCACAACAGATGGTCAAAAGACGAAAGCAGTTATTGGCGTTTTCCCAACTTGACATGCCACACGCACATACACTTATAAATGTCCAGACTTTTGTGGACTTTGATACTGGCCCATCAGTCTAATGGGCTTTTTTGCCTAAATGAGTTTTCCTGTGTACATATTCATAACTGTTAGAAAGGCATAAATGACAAACTTATCTCCCCAATGAATCAAATTTTGGCAAATGTGCGGTTTAATTCTGTTACAGTGGAAACACGGATGTTTAGCAAACATTTGTCATCACAGAGCTATAAGTGAAAAGCTTCACATTAAAAAACTCAAGACATTTTACTAAACAAAAGTTAACCAGAAACGTTCAGAATTGTGGGCCAGTGACAATAAGAGTGTTCTTGATACAGAAAAGACGATTAAACAAATCTAGCTTAAACCACATGTATTAATTAGAAAAAAACTTTTATACCATTTTTAACGAAACGTTAAATTTAATGACTCGTGGTGTAACAAACAAAACTTTTCCCTAATACTTTTAATGTGTAAATATCTTAGTCATTTTCAAATATATTTGTCAAAGTAAATGTATTTTTTACAACCTAAACTTGCCATGTCATAAAACAATGATTCCCATTCCTGGTCCAGGAGAACACCCAACACTGCACATTTTTGACGTCGCTCTTGTCTAACAGACACATCTTGAGGTCTTGGCGTCTTTACTAATGAGCCGATGAGTTGAATTAGGTGTGTTTGATTAGGGAGACATCTAAAATGTGCAGTGTTGGGGGTTCTCCAGGACCAGGATTGGGAACCTCTGTCATGGTCAAACAAACAATCTGATTTTATGAGACTTATTGACATTGACACACAGTCATGAGAGTCTTCAGGGGTCAACTTTTGTTGACGTGTTGTAGGCTTTACATTTCTTTTCTTGTTTTTTGGTTATTTCCTTCATGTTGGATGGAAGTTCATGAAAGGAACTTGCATATATATATATATATATATATATATATATATATAAAGAAAAGTATTGACAATGGATTAAAAATCAAAATAGTCCATGACAGGGTATATTTAGTGGGAAATACACAACAGATGTGTTATGGAGCCAGTGGGAATCTTTGAAGACCTTCAGTTAGCATTGGCTTCTCATAACTTTGAATAAATCTGGCCTTGAAACAGGTAAGGTGAACCTGGACAAACCTCTTCACCTGGTGATCGATTCTGTCACGCCGACATCTGTGCTTCTGTCCTGGGGAACCTACTTAAAGACGCCCTATGAGGGAAACATCATGAACGACTGCTTGGAGGATGGGTGAGTTACACACACAACATCTGGATTTAACTTTTTTTCCTCCACCAAGATGTTCCATATGAGTGTCCTAAATCCCAAAAGGAAGACTTAATTTACTTCACTTCATATGTAGGGACCATTTAACCTGAAAAACATGGGGTAAAAAATATAATGAAATATCATGGCACCCTGTCTCTAGTATTTAGGGGCCCTGTCCTCAGAAGCCTTACAGTGCAGTGCAGGTTTTTCTTCAATTGTTTCACTGCACTGACAAGAGACTGGATTTATGTCGCATAACCGAGAGACCCATTCAATGAGTGCAATGTTTTTCTACACAGAGGGAAAAAAATGTGTGGGATATGGAAACCTGCCACTGCAGGTGTGATGTGTCTATGTTTTAATGCTTTTTGAGGATACATGCACTGTTGGGACGCACTGACATACTCCCAGCCTCCCTAACTCGCTCTGGTTTTCATATGCAGAAGTATGTGAACTTTTTTCTTCAATAAAGGGAGACTTTTGGAAAGGCCATTGTAAATGTTGACCTGGAACAAAACAGTTGGGGACCAGTACTCTTATTAAACCTAACATAAGCCCCTCTGTTTAACGCCTGATCACTGTTATGGTGACAAAAAAACAGTTTACTAAAAATGTGGGACCTCCAACATGCATCATTTGATGACTTATTATAACTAGCCAAAACTAGGGTGTAGAAATGACTCTTGAACCTTTTGTATACTAGATACAGTACTTAAATAAGCAATGTGTCTTTGAACCAGGCATTACACCATCCGCTATAGAGAAAGAAACAGGAAGTGGATCTACCAGACCTGCCCCACCTCCGATACTGTGATCGACAACCTCAAGCCCAACACACCCTATGAATTTGGCATCCGATCCAACAAAGACGACCGTAGTGGAATGTGGAGCAAACCAGTGATCCACAACACCAACATGGGAGGTAACGGATACCCTAAACATAAATTCAAAGTTATTTTGGGTGATAAACTGGAACATGATCAAGTGTAACTTGCACTGCTACCATTTTGTTTTCAGACAAAAACATGCAGATAACCTACAAGCCCACCCGACCCCTTGTCAAGACTTTGGTATGTAGTGTTGTTTCATGTCAACTTGCTGTATATACTGTAGTATAGAGGACTTACAACTGACTTTAACAGGCAAAACCACATGCCATGCACCACTTTTAGTGTTCCAGTTTAAACCAGCCTGGGTTGTCGGTCTAAACTGGTTTAGGATGGTTTAGCTGGTCTCGCACCATGCTTTGCCAGTTGCCTTTCCTAGTTTCTTGTCCATCATGGTCTATTTTTAAACTGTCATGGACACAAAGAAATTTGTCTGCGAGCAAACTCTTTCTCACATATTCTCAATCTTGAGTCAAGAATCCAGTTGTTGGCTTAAGTATGTGTGTAAGGGGCTTGATTTTCTCAGTGGAGACTGGAAATAATACATGCCTGTCAGGGCATTTCAGGAACACTTTAGACATGGTGGAGAGACCCTGATTACAGAGCTCCTTTACATGATATGAAGACCGAAAGCGGTTCTGTGTTCTTTCACTCTACACTTCTTTTTTTAAAGAGGGAAGGAAAAAAATGTGTGTAACCCTCTTTTTACAGGCTGGACCCCACAGCAGTCTGTTCCCACCTCGACATGGTAAGACCATCAACTATTACTTTTAAGAATTGCCCCATATGTAGTAAAGAAAACAAGCGAATTCTGTCATCATTTACTCACCCTCATGTCATCCCAAACCCGCTTGACTTACTACCTTCTGTAGATCACAAATAACTTGACAATAGCACACTGTTCTTTTCCATACAGTTGAAGCATATAGTGACAAAGGGCTGTCAAACTTGTCAAATGACAACAAAGCACCTAAAAGGTATCAAGAAAAGTAGTTTTGGGACATCTGAAGAGGTCAGGTAGCTTTTGAGTGTGGAGCATACTGAAAGTTAAAGGTGAACTGTCACTTCTGCCATTGGTCAAATAAACAGATAACTCCACCCAAACTCACAACATCATTTTTAAACCTTGACAGCCTTTTTTGTAGCTTGACATATCCTGGTCACTGTATGCTGTATGGTTACTTGTTTAAGTTAGTAAGAGTAAATCATCACAAATTGTTCATTTTTGGGTGAATATTTTTTCTTTTATTCTGTGTTTCGGTCCATGTGTAAAATGAATGGCATTCAGTACTTTATTTTTATTTATTTATTTACCTAAACTTGCCATGTCATAAAACAATGATTCCCATTCCTGGTCCAGGAGAACACCCAACACTGCACATTTTTGACGTCGCTCTTGTCTAACAGACACATCTTGAGGTCTTGGCGTCTTTACTAATGAGCCGATGAGTTGAATTAGGTGTGTTTGATTAGGGAGACATCTAAAATGTGCAGTGTTGGGGGTTCTCCAGGACCAGGATTGGGAACCACTGTCATAAAAGGTCAAACAATCTGATTTTATGAGACTTATTGACATTGACACACAGTCATGAGAGTCTTCAGGGGTCAACTTTTGTTGACGTGTTGTAGGCTTTACATTTCTTTTCTTGTTTTTTGGTTATTTCCTTCATGTTGGATGGAAGTTCATGAAAGGAACTTGCAGTGCACCATGAAATTGCCCTTTTTTATGGTTTTGTTTGAACCCTTAAATAACTTGAGATGCTTGCTTTCACAGATGCTGAACCCAAGTACCTGGTAGCTGTATATTTATTTATTTTTCTGTGGAGATCTGTTTGAAAGCATTTTCTGTTGGTTTCTTCCTTCGCAATCTTCTTTCTAGCTCTCCACAACATAAGCCAGCCAGGACCGCCCAAAAACACAGGCGTTAATGGAGGTCCCAAGACATCTTTTGGTAATTTTCCCTCTCACTCTCTCTGCACTCTTCTTTCATGCAGGATTTTGTTTTATTCCAGTCGTTTGCCTTAAACTGGCATTTGAAGTCACAGTAAAGACATTTAATACTTTCTCCCTCTCAAGAGCCTTGTTGGGGATGCCTGTTAATTTTTTCTCTCATTTTTTTTTTCCATTTACAAAAAACATTGCATTATTTCCCACAGCGCCACCAATGGGCCAGCAAGGAACTGTGGCTGCTCCAAGAGCCAATGAGCCAAAATGGCCTCAGCTCCCATTCGGTAACCGAGAGATGTTTTGTTTTAAATCACTCTGCTTATGAGTAGTCAGTTGGTAATCGCTTTGCTGGGCATGGGTGGGGATTAAAGACATTCACTGTTATGATTGGCTGCATGCTGGCATGCCTTGTAAGAACGTTGAGTTAGAAAGTCCCGATTCCACCGTGATGAGGATTCCTGACCGGTCGCCACCACAGTGAGGAGGAAGTGTGAGTGTAAGTTTTCCCAGGGTGCTGCACAGCGAAAGCCCCTCTGTGGTCACGCATGGTCACGCATTGGCGCGGTTTCTGTAGGCCTGCTCACGCTCCACCCATCAGCACCAGTCAGAATCTGTGTCCACCAATCAGCTCTTTCCCTGTCACGCTCATCTCTGTCCATCCAGTCCCCTATCATTTCATCACTTGTCAATAACATCATAACTGTTATAAATGTTTGGTTTCCTCAGTCCCCCATCAGTTTTATTACTGTGGTCATAAACGGCACTCTGTCTTTATTGCTGTCCTTTTTCCTCTTTGTCCCTCTGTGTCACTATGAATCCTTTGTTTATACAGTATGTAGTGGTATAACAGCAAATTATGTCTCAATTAAAGCTTATCCCACTAAATAAATATAATATGACCATGATTTATGGTAATATGCTATTTAAACATGGTTACCATAAAATAACGTTTGTAAATATCAGTGTACCATAGTGTTGTAATGTAATGCCATCACTGCACCATGGTAATGGCAGAGTACATTTTTTGTAAAGTTCCATTTGTCAGTCATTATTTGAGTCAGTATGTGGTATTACCAATTTTGTAGAAAGACTAGTATAATTACATTTGTTTTATTTTAGTATCAATGTGGCCTTTTTCATAGTTTCACAGTTTAGCCTCTTTTTCTGAACCTCATCTTGTTTTCAATCATCCGAGCTTTGAAACCATCTCTTTTTCTGATTTCATCAACCCTTTCATTCATTTTCAGTGTTTTTGCACTTTGTTTTGCACTTTCATTCAGTCTGCATGAAGTCACTGCACGCAGAGAAAGAATCAGTCCCATGACAGTTCTAGCAGGGAAAGGCAGAGTTCTGGGAGTCCCACCTCCTTTCCTGTCTTCCTCTGTCTCTGAACTCTGGATAAGATAACAGTACAACTTTCTCTGTGCTTTTCCACTTGGAGCCAAACTGATTATGAGACCAAAGTCAACAAGTTAATTCTCAACCCCCCTGATAAAATCATCAGAACAAATGTTGGTAACAGGCACTTAAGCATCCGTTCCATCAAGAATCAATGGGATGGAACTCAGTAACTGTTACAAATGTGTTTACTATCAACCATTATTTATAAAACACTCTTAAAAATAAAGATTATTAGCATTGATGGTTCCATGTAGAATATGTAACCTCCATGGAAACTTTCCATTCCACAAAAGGTTCTTGATAGTGAAAGATTTTAGATTTTTATAATGTCCTTCACACTAAGAAAAAAAAAAAACATGGTTCTTTTAAGAATTACTCACTGAAAGGGTCTTTGGAGAACCTACTATGACATCACTGCGAACCTCTACCTTACCCCTTTGGATACTTTATTTTTAGGAGTGTACAGTCCACCTTCTTGGGAATCTTCTCCAGTCATGGTCTCAATAATCAGTCCTGCTGGAAAATCCAGATAAAACCAGTTTAAGGTGGTCCAAACTGCTGGTACAAGCTAGATGGATTCTAGATGGATTATCAGTTGTCCTACCACCTGGTGGGACCTCTGATTAACCTGGTTTGAGCAGCTAGACCACTTTGCCTAAGCTGCTGATCCGATTAACCATGTTCCATCTTCAACTGGTTGACCAACTAGACCACCTTGAGGTGTAATGACTTGGTTTTTCCAGCATGGAGAGCTCACCTGCTCATTTCTCTTGAACAGATTCAAACAGTCATGTTAGAAATGACTCCTCTCAGCTGGTGGAGATTCCTCCCATCCTTCCCCAACTCCTATCCACTAAGCCCTCCCATCCTTCAGTCACCCCTACCCCTTATTCCTTACCCAGCAGTGCCCGGACACCCCTACATGGACACCCCCAAACCAGGGCACCTAGTGCCACTCAGATGCCTCATAATTCCTCTGGTAATTCCTATGTTTCCTTCTTGTTCTTTTTTAAAGTTCTTTAAAAAATACTACTTTCAGGATCTGATGGTTGACAGGTAATGAGAAAATAACATATTGCTTCAGCGAGTCACTATTTACCACACAGATACTTGGGTATTTTATTTTGCAATTTGCCGTTCAAACTTTGGCTTTGCATTCTACCACTGCAAACTTAGTCTAAACACCAGAATATCAGATTTCAATGCTTTATTCAATTAATTCTCCACTTTTTGAGGTGGTTTTAGAGAAAAGTAATACGCAGGAAATTAATGGTTGTTCAAACCATGTTTCAATCAAACGACGTAATTCAGTAACTTCAGCCACAAACAGACATTATTTCACACTCCAGCTCAATGGATTACAGGACGAGCTGTCTGTAGTCTATGTGAGCAAGACCGCCAATAAAAAACAGCAAGAACCGGTGACATCAGTTCACATAATCCTCTAATTTATTTGCTCTGTCAGGCAAGCTATCACAACTGTCCCATCGGTGTATATCATGTCTGTGTTATTGTCTGAAATCAGCTTTCCTGTATCCTCCCCTACACAATGTTTTGTCTTCACAGGACAGGAATGCACTGATGCACTTTACTGCAATCATCAGCACATCAGATTTAGTCTTACTGCAGTCAGAACAGACATTATTTATTGTTAAATTCACACATCATTCAGTTTTTCTATAAACAATAGTTTCTGTTTCAAACCTTGGAAGCTGCCTACTTAGACTTATTGTCAGGCATCATAGGTTTTCCAAAATACACGTAACATGATTATCGCATGCATCCAATGTAGGAAAGCCAATCCCATGATGCATTGCTATGTATGTTCAGTAAAAAAAATCCATTCAAGGTGGCGAATAAAGCGTGCAAAATTGTAATTATAGATATAATTCTTCCAGTACCAAAAAGTATCAATAAAAATGTAATTATGAATGAACTAACTTAATGTTATACAATATTACCAAGTGTTGTAAATGTTTATGCTTATTGAAAATGTTGCGCTGTTAGCTTAGCAACATGCTAACACAAAACTATTGACATTGTAACTGTAAGCCAAGTTTCTTGCGTACTCCACGTGAGGAGCAATATTTTGAGTTGCTACCTACAGAAAGTGTTCCAAATCATTCACTTAAGAGGGTGACTTCAGTTAGGATGCTGCATATAGGCAGCAAGGCAGATCACTTGTTTTTGAAAAGGAGCTCTTGCATTGTTCTTGTGGTGATTATACTGTACTGGTACTTTTAGTTCAATTTAGATATCAGAATTGTTACCCGAAACACGACTAGCTAACTTTGACATCTCTCATCAGCCCGCAGATGGCAAATCTTTTTAACACATAGCAGCCCTTACATGATTGTACAGTACCTGCCTCAGCATGCAATGCTTCCCAGAGTAACCAAAGCTGTTGCTGTTGTTTTTTAATCTAGGTAAGAGCATCCGGAGAGACTCCATCTCTTCTCTTCCACCCAAACCTGTCGATTCAGTCCAAACAGTGACCACCAGGAATCAGACGTCACTGGGCAGATACCATTTCTCTCTCTCTAATGGCATGAGACCTTCTTCCCCCAGGTTTGGAGCCTCCTCCAGAAGATATGGGGGTAAAATACATTACTCTTACCCCTCTTACTCCAGTCTTTTTCTTTCTTTTACTCTTTTTCTTTTCTGCTTTTTCTTTTTTATTATGAGTTTATTTATTTAAGATTTTTTTTTTTTTTTTACTGGAAAACAACTTAAAATACTTAAAATATTTTTCCCCCTCTTTGTTCTCCCATGTCAACTATTTACCCTCCCCTTTTAGCTAAGTTATTTTGGTTGCAGTTCTCTTGGGGCAGTTTCTCTTCAAGAGCCAAATTTTCTCCTTTGCAACATGTGGTGTGTGTGCAAACTGGCCATCATACTCTGTCAAACCTGACAGTTTTACTGTCAGTGAAATATATGCGATTTAGCCCGATGGGCACTCAGACGGCCGACATTTGCACTAATCTGATCTTGAAAGCCTTCTCTTCCCCTCAGGCAGATGAACGGCAGCCTATAACTCTATGTAAACCCCCAGTTTTCTTCAGCTGCTGTGCACCTCAGCAAAACAACAATATGATGCTACCTTAGCCTTCCTTTTCTCTATAACACCCACTCTTTTCCCCTCCAACAGCTAACGGTGAGCACCATAAGGGACTTTCTCTCCCCAAACCAGTCATGTGGTCCACAGCAAGAATGGGTAAACAGAGCCAACTCGTCCTCTATGTGTGTTAGCCATCATTAACCTGCAGAAAGTCTGTTTGTGACGCAGCCCATGTGCCCATGTTGATGTCCTTCCCATCCATAATCTCCTGTAAACTCATGTCTGTCCATCCATTCATTCACCAGTCAAGCCATTTGCTCGCAAATCTGCCATGTTGCCTTTGACATTTGTTGTCGTTTTGCAAGCTTCTGCAGATCCCGTGCTGCCGCAAGCTTTATGGTCTAATTGTCAAAGCTTTTCCCAAGATTGGTTCCTTTAATTTCTAAAACATCATGGTGCTGTAGGACATTTATTTTCAAGAGAAAACATGTATTTTGGAGGACACAGAAACCCACCGCATTGTCATAAACTGTCTCGTAACATTCTGTGGCTCTTTTATTTGTGCATTTCAGCAATAATATTTGAAACTTCTGCAGAGGACTGTAGCTGCTTCTGGTTAAAGTGCATTGTGTGCATGACAAATTGCATGCTTTGATGTATTCTTGAGCTTCCATGTGGTATGAGGGCTTTTTAGTCTGCCATATTGTTTGTCTGTGTAGCACAAACAAAAATAGCCTGAATTTATAGTATTTATCCATTAACTATTAATTCTCATTACTGTTCTTTTGAACAAAGTTAACATGGCAAAAGATGCTGGAGGGCAGCTTACCGAGAATTGCTTTAGCATTATGAATATAATTTCACTAGCAGCAATTCCACAACAGAATTGATTTAGTGCCCAGATGACTAACAAAATCATAGAAATAAGGTATCAGCAGAAAAACAGCCACAAAATATGCATATTGGTTCTGACTAGACTTGGTTTTGGAAAATGCAGCAGACTTCCGCAATCTGGCATACTTTGTAAAGACTGTACAGCACCACTGCAGTTCAGATACTGAAGTGGCACTTAAAATTTCCAATAGGATGTTTAACTACATTAAACATCTGGATATTTGTCTGGATTTGTACCACTATTCCCTATTATTTGATCATTTGATGAATTACTGCTGCCGTGATCAGTAGAAAATCTACACAAATAAAACAATCACGGACAAAATAAGGTCTGCAAAATGATTGTCACAACTTATTACTTACAGCTTGTGCAAAAACAGTGGAATACAACAAAATTAGCACAAACTGTTGACATGAATTTTCTTCTACTGACCAATAGTTGGAGATCTGAGGAGATCATGGTTAGCTGGCTTTCTTTGAAGAGAGGTACTACGGCAGATTTGTTTAACAGTGACTGCCTGAAATCGTCTAACCACAACAGTTTTAGATCACCCAAAACATCGGGCATCACCACCAAAAATCTCGGCTAGCTCTCTGGAAATTACTTTCCCTCTGCAAAAGTATGACATCTGTTGGTCCTTAGTTTTATTTTCAGCAAAGTTTGGCTTTTTCGCCACCCAGATTTGCAGTTTTGACTTGTACCACAGGGTTTAGTGAGCTGAGCTTCTTTTGATTGGCCTGTGATGAACTGAAGGTTTCACAATTGGTGCCTTGGATGTAAATTGAATCAGTTTTCCTGGGAAGAGTCCACTTGCTCTAGCCTGTTTGCTTTTGGCTCGACTGCAAGATGGCATTGAGAACTGAAGGCTTGAAAGGCAGTTGAAGTGCCAATGTTTAGACTTCATCCATGCAATCAGAAAGAAAACAGGGAATTTGATTAAATTTGCTGTTAACTTCACAAGTGAGATTGACCTCTCAATTTGTTATTCTCGTTTAGCAAAGCATCCAAATTGCAGGTTCTCAAAAGTAAACAAGAATTATGTTCAATTTTATTATTTAGAGTATGGGATACTCCAGTTTCCATAGATCAGGGGAAAGATTTGAAAACCTGTTTTCGTCTTAGGAGATTTTATGTTTGACCACATTGTGGTTCAGAATGAGGGCATTTCATCTTTTGTTCCATATTTTGAGTTAAGTTAAAAACTTTCTGCTGTTTAATTTGAATGTGTTACTTGATTGTTAGATATTTGACACTATAACAGACATGGTTATTTAACAACAGGTATTTTCAAGGCACACATTTTAGGTTCTTCACTAAAATGTGAAAATTCAACAGCAGTGGTAGTGATGTCTTCCACTGTGTTTTATAAAACTTAAATAATAAGTTAAGAGAACATGATGAAGGTGTGTGAATATTATGAGAATGTGTGGTTGCTACTTTTGACCTGTTATAGTGCTTTTGGTGCCATTTTTGACTTACCGTGTCCTTAGTTCATAGTTCATAGTGGAAACAGATGAAGGAAATGGGAGAGTAGGATATCTGAATCTGGAAGGATTTCACTTCACGACTTTTGCTTCCATCATTACAGGTTCTCCCGCTGCACACCTTCCTATTCCAGCAAAAAAGCCTAATCTTGTTGACAACCCTGTAGGATTAGGTGGGTAAAATGTTAATTAAATTTAAAAGATAAAATTATTTTGTCCATCTCTTGGAACCACATAATCTGCAAAATGAAAACTACAAAAATGTGAATGTAAAAATGTGTTTTGATATACTTTTCTGCCAATTAACACTAAATGACTTGGGAAGATGCTATGTTTAAAACATTTCATGTATTCACTTGTTATGTAAACAGCAGACAAGACAACAGACCTGAATCAGGACAAAGCTTCCATCTTGAAACCCAAGCTTCCGCCTGTAACAGCAAAACCATCCAAACCAAAAACAACAACATATCCCACAGTGACAGGTTTGTCTTTATGTGATGTTTTGTATTATTCTTCAATGTTCTGCTGAAGGTTAAACATCTTTTGAATACATTTTTACATGATGTATAAAAATATGCTGGTTGAAACAATCTGTTAACCATAGTTTTGATATAGTCGACACTGTTTGTTCATATGTTTGGCATTTTAGCACCCCGATTTGAGACATGGGAGAACTCTTCAGTATTCAGCTCTGTTCCTGCTTCTAAAGTTGATTCCATGGGCAAAGAACGCTACATTGGTAATAAGACTTTCTTAACTGCTGTAGCCGTGCATGCCAAGGACTCTGAATGATGCAAATTTGAGTTTCAGAGCCAAAGCAAAAAGGAGCCTGAATTTAAACACAAATATGTTGTTGTCCAGCTCCACATGTTGTCTATAAGACGGATAAGAAACCAGATGAACCCTGCTCCATCACCACCTCTCTGAGTTACTTCCCTGAGGAGGAGGCTGGAGAACAAAATGTCACCAATCCTCCAAGAACAGCCCCATCCAACCTCACTGTTGTAACTGTGGAAGGATGCCCCTCCTTCATTATTCTTGATTGGGAGAAAACAGATAATGAGACGACAGGTAGGATTGAGGGATGAATTGTGAAAGGAAAACCATGGTCTAATATCTATTGGTTTATATCTGAGGAATATAATGTGTGATATATTGTGGTGTTAAAATGAAACTGATCCTTGTCTTTGATTCATCAAAGTCAAAGTTTAGGGTATGACTCAAAAACTATTGCCTTTGATCAATCAAACACTGACCATTGACTTTGATCTATCAAATACTAACATTCTACTTTGATTAATACAAAACCTTGACTTTGGTCAAACACTATCCCTTGACCTTAATCCGTCAAACACTTACCCTGTAACTTGACTGGTCAGCTTTGATTAGTCAAAATCTACTAGGTGAGTGAGTGACTCTGAGTGAGTAAAACACTAATTCTCAACTATGATCAGTTGAATACTAACTCTCTACTTTGACTGGTCAACTTTGATAAGTCAAACACTAACCCTCTACTTTGGGTCACTCAAACACTCTCGATTTTGATTGGTCAAACTCTTACCTTCTACTAGTCAAACACTACCTTTCAATACTTATCAGTCAAACACTAGTCCTCTACTTTGATTGGTCAACTTTGTTCAAATACTAAACCTCTACTTCAGTAAAACACTAACCCTAAACTTTTGAGTCGAACACTAACTCTCGATTTTGATCGGTCAAACAATAAACCTTTTTATTTGTGAACTTTGTTTTGTCAAACACTAACCCTCAATTTTGAGTGATCAAACACAAACCCTCAACTTTGTTGAGTCAAACACTAAAAAAAACTCAAATCTGAGTCAATCAAACACTAATCCTCAACATTAAGCTGTCAAATACTAACCCTCTACTTTGGTGAACTTTGATCAAACACTAACCCACGTAAACTGTGTTTGGTCAAACACCAAATCTCGAATGTGATCGGTCAAACACTAACCCTAAACTTTGATTGGTCAACTTTAATCAGTCAAAACTAGGTCACTCAAACACTCTTGATTTTGATTGATCAAACACTAACTTTCGCTATTGATCAGTCAAACACTTACCTTCTAATTTGATCTATTAAACTCTAAACTTCTTCTTTGATTGGTCAACTTTGATCAGTCAAACACCATTCCTCTATTTTGAGTTGATCAAACACTAACCCTCTAGTTTGATTGATCAACTTTGTTCTAATACTATAACCCTAAACTTTTATGAGTCAAACACTAACTCTTGATTTCTATTGGTCAAAAACTAACCCTCTACTTTGATTTGTGAACTTTGATCAGTCAAACACAAACCCTCAACTTTGTTGATTCAGACTCTAACCCCAAAATCTGAGTCAAACACTAACTCTCAACATTAAGCGGTCAAATACTAACCCCTTTACATTGGTCAACTTTGATCAGTCAAACACTAACCCAAGATGACTTTGTTTGGTCAAACACTAAATCCTGACTTTAATTGGTCAAACACTAACCCTCAACTTTGATTGGTAAACTTTAATCAGTCAATTAACCCTGTACTTTGATCAGTCAGTCCCAAATCCATTTGCTTTTCATTTGTCTTTTTTTCACAGAATATGAGGTTATCTCAACTACTAAAGGTCCTGATGGTGAACAGGTTTCCATTCTGACCACCAACCAGACTCATACAGCTGTGGAGAACCTCAAACCAGAGAGCAGGTACAGTCTAAATGCAGAACTCCAACCTCTCTATTTACAGAACCCTGCTGAATTTGATAGATGTATTTTAGTTGATGTGGGTGTCAAATACCAGGGGTGTTAGGACTTACACGCATCCTGAGGTCTGGACAAGGTGTTGGACATGTGCTCTGTGGTCTGGCTGTAGGGGAGCCATCACACTTACTAGCTTTTTAATGAGGCTGAATATAGGCTCAAGATCTGGCGACACAATATAAACCAGTGCTTCCTATGGACTGCATCTCGAGGCACGTGGGCCTTGGTAATGTCTCTACATCACACATGGAAGATCCATTAAAGGGGGCCACAGACTTTGAGTCTTCAGACTGCAGAATACATATATCAAGTGTCAGGGCTCAGAAGACGGGAAATAAGAACCTAATTTTGCTCTGAATTTGACAACATCCCACAAGGTTACCAATACAGAAATCCTTTTTAAATAATTTTGAATTAAGCAGACTCGCTGCTGTGTCAGGGGCATAGCATTAGAACTGAAATGAATATACCTAATGGTTTTATGTGGATCAAAGAAGAAACGTAATGTCCCATTACCTGTCTTTATCTTACCTTACAGTTATGAATTCAAGGTGAAGCCCAAAAATGAACTCGGAGAAGGGCCGCCCAGCGAACCAGTGACCTTCAACACAGAGTCAGGTAATGCATTTTCTTTTCTTTTCTTGAAGAATTACTTCTTAGAAAAAAAAATGGTGTGATCAAAAAATGTAATGTGGTGCTTTATTTAAAAAAAAGTGTATTTAAAAACTTGAGATGTGTACACTCACATGCACATTGTTCAATATATATATATATTTTTATGATGGTTACATTTTGGAGTCATTAAATTTTAAATTTCTGGAAATGGTATAAAAGCTTTTTAAAGCCAAACAGATCCATTACTACAAAAAGTACATTTTTGGGCACATGTGTTTTAAACTAGAAAAATAATTTAATCTTGAACTTATCTTGTCATAGGCATACTTTAAATTATATGCCATTTTAATGTGAAAGAGATGTCCTGGAGCTATCTGAATGTTTGTTTATTTTAGTCATAGTTTAACCATAAATCATTCCCATATTCTCATATCCCGACCAAATTACAGTATTAACATAAAATATGTTTTAAAGTCATACATTAGGCATAAAATGCAAATATCCCCAGGGAAGAGCTGCAGATTGCTTTGCCATGGGTTTGCATGATGCCTGTGCAAGTCAGCCAATATTTATGACCTCTCCTTTATCTCTTAGAGATATATGTATTGAGTTGTTTGTCATTAACATAATGACTCCAGCATGTCCCCGTACTGTTGCAACATTTGGCCCTATCACTGCCTGCAGATGCACCCCTGGAGTGCTGTCACACAGCCAACCTTTCCCTGTCTTACAAGCTCACTAACAACATATCATAAAAAGGAACAAATAAAGACTCATATCATCCCCATGTTTTATGGGAGGGGGCTTTAGTTTTAAAACTTGTCTGGCCTGCATAAAGAAAGAGACTAGCAACAGAATGGAAAGCAGGGCAAAGGCAATGAGGAAGGAAAGAGAGTCCATATGTGCGATGACGGGAAAGAAATAAAGGAAAACTGAATGATGAGATCTTACCGCCAAAGCCGCTGAGGCTCAGTCTCTCCCCTATAGCTTTGGCAGATCCGGCAGGTTAGTTCATGCCAGCTGATCTCTCTTCATAAGGGATATTCAAAATCCACTGGAAAAGCGCAGTATTTTCTGCTTGTTGGAATTTATTGTAGTTTTTATTTATTTATTTTTTTACTTAAGGAACTCTGCCCACCTATGGATAACCAATGCAGAGTTGGTTGATTTGTATCAGTAACTTTCCTATAGTCTACAGATCATTTTGATTGTCTCTACGACCCGGTGGCTCTAAAACAAAACCATAATTTCTGATTTCTCCTCATTCTTGCCCTGTTTTCTCTTGCAGCGGATCCGCGGGTAAGCGAGAACGTTTCAGGTATGTGTTTCTTCTTTGCACACTATTTCTCTCAGGTGACAAATTCCTATCTGTTGAATAAATGGATAATGTAACAAACAGTCCTAGTAGAGGAAAGTAAGAAAAAAGAATGGGTAAAGGAGCTGTGGAGACTTCCTATGAGTTCACTTCTTCCATACCAAGTTCTCAGCCAGACAAAACATTTACCCAAGAGTGGCAAATGGATAACACCATCCTCCTCCATCCCTACTCTCAAATAAGGGCCTCTGTACTTTCTTGCACTCATTGAGCTGCAAGAATGGGCCAGTTTGATATCAATCTCCCTCGATTTCTTCCTGTGTATTTTCTATTCCAGCCGAAATTGACAGAGTAATGGAAAAATGGATATAGAGAGCAAAGTTAGCCAATAGTAAGACGAGGTTATGACAGGAGCCAATGGAAACAGAAACTAATGGGGCAGCCCCTCAGCTCTTAATGTCCAGCAGGCCTTTGCTAACATGTGTATAAACAAAAATGGTGTCTGTACTCCAGTAATCTTTTCAGAAAGAAACAATGTTTTGCACAGTCTGTGCCAAAAGTTTTTTGACCTTGACCTTGTCAGTTCATAAAATAACATCTTGGGGTTTCTCGGCATGCCGTTCAGGTAAAGATGCCATTTGGACCCAGTTCCCCTTCAAAACCGACTCCTATTCTGAGTGCAATGGGAAGCAGTATGTCAAGAGGACGTGGTACCGCAAATTTGTTGGCATCCAACTCTGCAACTCCCTACGATACAAGATCTACCTGAGCGACTCCCTCAACGGTCAGTCTTTCAAACACTGATACATACAATGGGTTCATTTGAAGCTAGAATAGATTATAAATTGGCAACTCTTTTCTTCCTCATCCCTTCAGGTAAATTCTACAATATTGGAGACCAGACGGGTCATGGTGAAGACCACTGCCAGTTTGTGGACTCATTCCTGGATGGAAGAACGGGCACTCAGCTTCCTGCAGACCAGCTGCCATCCAGGCTAGGTATTTAAACTACAAGAAACCACAAATATGATGTTATTGTGGTTTCTATTGACATATGCAATAAATCTGATTATGTACTCACCTTTTTGGCGTTCCAACCCCAGAATGAGAATAAGATGATCCAGTTTAAAAAGCTATTCCAAATGATTAATTCTTGAATTGTATTGAGCCACTTCTGAACTCAGCAAATCATGATCCATCTGCAGAAGTTAAGAGGGGAAGATTATTCACACAAATCTTATCGTATGATATACGTCATATGAACCACCTTCATGAAACTTTTACCTGCATTCTATTTGAAGCTCGAAATCTCCAGTCCCCATGTGGACTAATTGCATGGAAAAAAAGCAACTGGCCCATTCTTCAAAACTCTGTTGAAAGGACATTGTACAAGTACGAGTAAATGATTACTGGTTGGAGTCTAATGCTTTTCTTGATGATTTTCAGGCTTCTACAGAGCAATGAGACAAGAGCCAGTTCACTTCAGCCAGATAGGTGGAAACTCCCATATCACCTACGTCGCATGGTACGAATGCGGTACGCCAATCCCAGGGAAATGGTAGGGCAAGTGTCCACAAGGAACCCTTAAAAGTAACTCTCATTGGTTGGGGTTTTTTTTTTTTTTTTTTTTACTGTTTTCCCCCCACCAATGATGGTGAGTTTGGTCACTCCTCAGCCTACGTCACCAAAGTTAATACCATGTATAATAGTGTACAGGATGAAAGTCAGGGAATACTTTTCAGTGCATTTGTGACATGTATTAGCAAAACAGTGCCTCATCTTGTTATTTATCATACAATAATTAGAACAAAGTAAAATAAATAAATAAATACTTCATTATGAGAAAAACACTTTGGATACATTGAATTGATGAACATTAAAAAACAAAGGTAAAAATACTTGTTTAAATATTGGGAAGCTGGCTCCCTGAAACTATTTTGATATTTTGTGTAATATTATTTATCAAAGTTTGTGGTTTCTTCACTGGCTTTCTTCCAGTGAGAAAGGGCCAGGCTTTTATTAAGCGCTTTAAAGACAGCCTGGGCTTTTGTCTACCACCAGAGGCAGCTGTATTAGTTTAGGTCTCTGATATGTCAGATGATATGTATAGCTGGGACTCTTCGCTATGTTGCTTTTATGAACACATTGTACTGGCTCAACAAGTCAGGTTACCCACACTAGAATAGACACAACGGACTCAAGACGACGACACGTCTATGTTTACAACGGGTTGGGATGAACATAATAATTTTCTTTACATGCACACACACGAAACATACATTTACTCAGATGCTTTGTACTATGGCTATTGTCTTCCAGTTGTAAGTCCTGGTATATTTGATGGTTCTAGATCGTAAGGACAACCTTACACTTGCAATTTGCACAGCACAAATATATTTATATGTATATGGAGAGAGTATTTTTTCAGGAAACCTTTGAGAAAATTAAAAATCCTTCCCCTCAAGCTTGTGAAACATGATACAAGTTTAAATAAAAAACAAAACACTTTTGTTGAGTGTTAACCCACTGAATACTTTCAAGGAGTCTTGAAGATCGTAATACTTCAAGGAGAGCTTGTATGGGTCCCATATTTTGTACAGTTTTGTCCCTGCCAATCCCTTGGCAGAGTTTCTCTGGCTTATCCGTATTTTCATGGAATTTGTTTGTAAGATGAAACTGTTGATTGTTCTTGTTGTTCTGGATTTGTTTTCTTCTGTATGTATTTTACAATAATAAAAAACTAAATTTTTGTCTCTTTTTTAATCATCTGCGTCCTGTCTTTGTTGTAGCACCATTTTTTATAGATTTCTAGAGAATACAATGAAACACAGTCTCTCAGGTGGGTCTGTAAACACTTGGGTCTCTTTGACCGCTGGGAATTTGACTACCATTAAACTCCACTTAACTTGCCTCATCTCACCAACTCAAATTATAAAAAATAAACATCAATACATGCTTTACTGCATTACTATACTTTTCCAGAGTTAGAAAAAGAGAGAGGTTTGCCCCGCCAAATCCAATACAGGGACATTCTCCGAAAACCACAAAGCTAGAGGGAAAAAAAGACTATAAAATTCAAAATGCCTCTCGGTGACTTTATGAGCTTTCCAACCAAAAGAAAGAAGGGGAGAGCGTATAAGAGAGAGAGATAGAATGATATAAACATTAGTTTGGGTTGACAACAGAACTAAAGACCGACATACTGTGTCCAAATAACCACAAATGGCAAAACAATCTGTTTGGTCACAGTTTTCTGCAACTTTTTTTTTTTTTTACATAAAAACATTGCTATTATGCAACCTAACGTTGTAGCCAATTCAATGACGTATGGATAGGTATAGAGTTTGTGGGGAAATGGGTCTAAAGTCCAGATTGGGATTTTAAGGACATGATTTTACAATTACGGAAAGACTTTAAATGGGGTGACAAGGTCCTGAACAGCTTCGACTGGTATAAGGCTGCAGATTATGAGACGTTTTACCTAAACTCATTGATTGCAGGCCACCCTCACAACTTTACTTGGCTGTTTTCGTCAGCGAGGCATTCACACAAATCAACAACTCTCTCTCTGCAGACTTTACAGCTTACTTTAATCTTCTCACAGCTGCATTCAAAGTAGCCACTGCATGGTTCGTGCCTGGCGTGTCAGCAAGAATGCAGCCAGGGAGAATTAAGCTTCCTGCGACAAGTCCAGTGTCCAATTTAGGTCCCAACACGTGCTGGGAGGACCTCGGGAATGTTCACAAATGCACTTTGGTTTGTTATTAAAGGGGCTCTGGGTTTACTGACGAGACTTTGGTTGCAAATTTGAGCATTAGTTTATGTGTATACAATGGTTGCTCAAGTACTAAGAACTGGCAGGAAAATGCTCAGTTTTGGGTTGTTTTAAAAGGAGCTGTAGATACAGAATGCATTCTTGTGTGTGAAATAGAGTGGAGCAAGATAGTTTCTTTCCAAATTTAAACTATTTTTAACTTGACAAGTCGTCTTAAAAACATGGTGTTCATGCGAAAGACTGTGAGACATTATGCAGTCTTTTTTCAAAGACACAATTGGACACAATTTATCATTAAAATGCATCAGCTTGGTTAATGAATGTTAATTTAATTAATATTCAAGAGGTTCAGTAATCCAACCTGATTTGCGTGTTAATTAGATGCTTGACATATACTGAAAATACTGTATACTGGTGCAGAAAATTACAAAGAATCAGCAAGTAACACATTTGAATTAAATGTTAAACTTTTATGTATAAAGACTAAAATAGTAACACTACTAATCTTTGTTTACTTGAAAATGTTGCCATATTTGTTTGCCACCCATTTGGACAATTATCGTTTTAGGTGGGTGGCTAAATATTTTTTACCTCATGATAACGGAAATAAAGCAACAACAAAAAAAATCATTATTTCTAAATGGGATAGTTCAACGGAAAAAACAAAATTTGCTGAAACCTTAGTTGAATTTGAAAAATTTAGCATTACATCACTTGCTCACCAATGGATCCTCTGCAGTGAATGGGTGCCGTCAGAATGAGAGTTCAAGCAGCTGATAGGAACGTCACAGTAATCAAGTAAAGTAGGTGATTCACAAGCTGTGTTTATAATAAAATCATTAAGACACTTCTAACGTTAAACAATCACTTCCAGCTAAAATACAGTCCTCTATCCATAATACTGAATGAGGAGAGAGATATGCGCAGATCAAGCACCGATTACAAGCAAAAACAGTTCTTAACAAATATGTCAGAGGACAAACAAATGGACAACAACAAGGGAATGGACTATTTCACAGGAGGAAGCATTTTTTTATGTATTATGGACTTGTACTGTAATGGTTACTTCGCCTCCAGCCACAATAAGGTAATGAGTCATAGTCAGCAATTATTGCAATTAATTGGGATTATTCTGATTAACATTGAGTTTGATTCAAAATCTTAAAGCCCTAAACTTTGTGCTCAAAGGGTTTTTGGCGATGTAGGATGGATGGGGAAGAGGAATGAATGTGCTGACTATCAATCCGAACCAAAATAAACCCCACAGAGCATATGAAAACGTGCTGCGGTAATTTTCATGGCTCATTGGAATACAGCTGAATTGATCTCATTTTATGTGCACGTATGTGTGTAAATGTCCTTGTCACTAAATGTCCTCGATCAGTTGTGGTGAGATGAATATATATGTGGGTTTAACCAGACACACATGCGCATCCACACAATAACCAACTCAGCATAGTTTCAATGTTATTTAGAAAGTCGCATCTACTTTCAAGGGCTAACAGAACATGCTAACTAGCCAAACACTGACTTTTTGACACTGACTCCCCCAGACTTAATGGAAAACCAGTCGATTTGATTGAAGCTTTCAATATGTAGCACATGGTCTATGAACCACAAGATAGATTAGCACTAAAAAGATTCAGTTCATAACACAGAACTATCCTTCACTAGTTTTGTCATTTATCCCATTCTCTTTTTGAACACCCACCCCATTTTTTTCTTTTTTGGAGGAGTATCCATTTGTTTTCATCTTTTTCCTCTTCAAAGACTTAAAACCAGATGATCTGGTTGATCTGGAACCATCTTCAAAACCAAGATGGCAATATTAAAGTGGAAGTGAGAGTGTTCTTTATAAAAACATCAAACGTTTTAGTAGCTATGTTTTTTTTGCTCACAAGCACCACAACAATTCTGTTAATTCCTTGGAATTACATTCAAAAAAGTAATTTAAGAAATGTTCTAAAGCCAGAGGAAAACATGGTGTACCATATAGTGTTTGATTATTATTTTCTCACTGTTCTCCTCTAAATGTAACATAGTCAAACAAAGATCACAAACAAAGATGCTTATATAATATTGTGAATTTGAATTAAATGGGCCATAATAATAATAGTATAGTATTGTTAGTATAATTATTAGTATTACAAACAAATTATACTACTACTACTACTTATTATTATTATTATTAGTAGTAGTAGTAGTAGTATTATATTCAAATTTATTTGTATAGCACTTTTCACAATATACATTGTTTCAAAGCAGCTTTACAGAAAACACATGTGTCTACATTACAATTTAGAGTGATCTTTATCAGAAGTGAATGTGTCCAAGTAATGTTTATTTCACAAATGAACAGTTCAAGATAATAGTTGCATGTCGCTAGCATGTTTATAACATGATTATCATGTTTCTAGTATGTTGTTAGCATGATTTAGCACACTGCTAATGTTTTAGCATGATTTAACACATTGCTAGCATGCCCTAGGCTAGAGATAGATAGAAAGATAGATAGATAGATAGAAAGAAATATTAGGTAGAATGGAAGCTTAAATGAGTTTTAATTGCTAAGAATTATAGACGGGAAGTTTGAATGAGTCTCAGGGGAGTTTAAATGTTAATTTTGATAGTTGGAGTTTGAATAGTCTTGGCCCATTATAATATACAGAGTCAGAACAGTCTGAATGTCTGACCCGAGTTCGGTGGTTCTAGCTTGCAAACTCTAGGACGAGTTTCAATTGCAAATTTTGTCTTAGAAGAATAATAATAATAAGCTTATAGAATATCAGTAGGTTGGCTTTCTCAAGTCAACCTAATAATAATAATAATAATACTTAAAAATAGCAACAACAAAACTGTTAAAATAATAGTAAATCTGTATATCCTTTGTTGTTGGTGTTGATAATAATAATAATAATAGTAGTAGTAGTGAAATAGGGCAAATTTGTGTCCCCTCCGATATTCCAAATGCCCACTAAAGTAAATCATCCTGGTCAGAATCTGGACTTTGTGATGCTAAATGAACTGAGAGCTGGAAGAGATAAAAACAGCAGAGTGACTGGTATTACCATTACCATCCTGATGAGTGCAACTCACCAATCAGCCAGCCAATCAACACAGAGACGAGCACCATCAATCTTGTTTCTTCTCTTTCTTTCTCTCGCACGCTTTCTTAGGAGCCAGGCATCTTCTCCAAGCAGGCCGTGTCTCCATCCAGCTCCCTCACTCAGGGAATCCCGGCAACGAGAAGATCAGGGTATTTCCTCCATGTGATTTGTCAAATCTCAACCCAGTGGGAGAGACACGTCGACCTAAAAGAACAACAGACAGTCAGTATTTCCAAAACAATGTCTTGAGAGTCGCCTCCAGCAGAGAAACGTTACACAAATACAGACGCAATGTTATTCGCTTTTCAACACCAAAATTATTTCCACCGATCCACTGTGATTTATTGAAGCCAAATCACATACTCCTATAGCACATTAATCATGTGAAAGAGAAAGACGAGGGAAACCGCTCTTATTTTCTCCTCTCTTTCACCTCAGATGATTAATAGCAACATGCTAGCTCTGCATTTAGCTTCCACACTGAACGTCAGTGGATAAAGATGCTTTGTGCAGCCAGATGGTACCGAGTGTTTCTTCAGCTATGCAATTGTGAAATTGTAAGATTATTTGGACTAAAATGGCTGACATCGTTGTCTTGCTAAGGCTTAATTTTATATTTAGCCTTTTATGCATGCAAAATAGACCAACAGTTAACAATATATTAGCACTTTATGCATGATATGACAAAATTTCATGGTATTCTTCAAGTATCACATCTCAAGTCTCTTCATGGATACTGTTGTTTTCTTGCTGTCTTCAAGTATACTACCTTTATTAATGCAAATTGTTCAGTGTGGTGGAAATGACAACTGTAAGACAGTCATAGTTTTTGAACAACTGATTACTATATTACTCATTCAATTATTTTCACACAATCAATA